TAAGGATGAGGTCAGTCGGCCTTGGATTTATGCGGCTGCATTCCTGCCTTGGGCGAACGAGCACTGCGACCAATAGATTTCGTTCCGAGTTCCATCGGTGTGCTTGCTTGGGTTTTCATTTTGCAACATTCTCAATTTTTGGTGCAATTTCTTCCGGTGATGAATTGGGTACTAACTTTGCATTTGTTTTGTATCTAAATTGTATCTGTATCTGTAGTGTATTCTGTATTGTAGTTAGATTGTAGGTACCTGTATTGCATTTCTTTTGTATTGTACTGTATAACGTTCTATCCCTCATTAACAAATCCTAGCCCTCTCCTTTCCTAGCGAGATCTGCTCCAGACCTTCCCGTGGTTCTTGCTGAGCATCAACTATCGAGGACAGAAAATTCAAATTCAAAACCAGCAAAGTTTCACAAAAATCTTGAAAATCGCTCGTTGGTGGCCAACGTGGAGCAAAAGAGACTTTTGTAACTCAACTAACTTTGTTAACTTTGTATTCTAAGGTATAAGGAAACAAAAATGTATTACATTTAATTTATTATTTGTAAGGACAAATGTGAAGACAAGTTGTTAACAAATTTTTCCTTCATTTTCCTTTTTTTTCCTCGGCAACTTCTACCTTTAATAGGAGTCGTTTGTTTGATAAGCGTCATCACTAAATCAGCAATGTTAGTGTTTTGTAACATTGCGTTGGCACTGTTGATAAAAGATCTATGCTGCGATGTATCGGTGAAGTTGGTGGGCCAAAGCTATACATTTTCGCGATATAATTAAATCAAATTTAAACGTAATTAATATAATTCATAATGTTTAAATATGATAACTATTAATATGTGATAATTAAACTGAAAACCATTTTCCTAAGAACACGAGGTTAGCAAAAACAAATTAGTTTGTTTAAACGTTGTTAAATTAACGCCGAAAATGTACAATTTCTGAGCGAAAATATGAAAAATAATTTTTGGAATTTCATCGTGACGTACGATGACGTCACTGTCACGTGACCTACCTGATAAAAGGTCACATTTTTCGGTCCTCTGTGTTTAGTTTTGATTCCGGTCTGGTAGCAACAACACTGGAGCTCCGTTTTGGCTTAAAAGTAGGGCTCTTTTCACGAATTTCTAATTTATTATTAATAAATATTAGTGAAAATGTGTTGTATTAGTACTGTAAACACGAACGAAATGGATATTTTTCCGAAAAGGACCGAAAACAGGGTAAGTACGACCTCAGTTTTAATTTATCGGATTCCGTGATTCGTTCACTCGACAATGTTTAAATTTTGGGAAAATTTTCGAAACGATTGAAGTTGGTTGATCAAAGCTATACATTTGCACGATATTAATTTATAAATTTTAAACATAATTAATATCACTTATAATGTTTAAATATGATAAGCATAAATAAATATGATAATTAAATCGAAACTCGTTGTCCTACAAGTCCGAAATTATTAAAAACAAATCAATTTGTTTAAAAATTGTTAAATTATCCCCGAAAATATGCATTTTCCCGGCCAAAATATGAAAAATAATTCTTGCAATCTCATCGTGACGTACGATGACGTCACTGTCACCTGAGCTAGCTGTCCGAAGGTCACGTGTCGCGATTCTTTGTGTTCACTATTAATTTCTGTTGGATGGCGGCAAGATTATTGCGTCGTTTTGGCGTAAAAGTGCGGCGTTTTAGCGAATTTCTACTTTATTATTAATAACTATTGCGGAAAATATGTCAAAATTTGGCCGAAAAGTGAAGAAGGGGAAATTGGAAAATTTTCAGGAAATGCGAATTTTTGAAAATTTCTAAAAATCTCGATATTTCAACGGCCGATTCCGTAAAAAGGGTTGCAGTTATCAAAGAAACGAGGCCGGAAGTGAGTTCTAGAGCTCGACATCTACAAGAAAATATGTTTAGTTAAGTTTCGAAAATGTCAAAATTTGGCCGAAAAGTGAAGAAGGGGGGACCATTGGAAAATTTTCACTTCAAAAAAAGTTGTCTAAAAATTGCGAAAAAATTCAGGGACGTAGATCTCGACAAGCTGATTCCAAAAATATAGCGTGTTGATGGTCACGGAGAAACATTTTCGTAAGAATCGGTAGGAAATGCGAATTTTTGAAAATTTCTAAAAATCTCGATATTTCAACGGCCGATTCCGGAAAAACGGTTGCAGTTATCAAAGAAACGATTTCGGAAATGAGTTCTAGAGCTCGAAATCTACAAGAAAATATGTTTAGTTAAGTTTCGAAAATGTCAAAATTTGGCCGAAAAGTGACGAAGGGGGGACCATTGGAAAATTTTCACTTAAAAAAAAAGTTGTCTAAAAATTGCGAAAAAATTCAGGGACGTAGATCTCGACAAGCTGATTCCAAAAATATAGCGTGTTGATGGTCACGGAGGAACATTTTCGGAAGAATCGGCAGGAAATGCGAATTTTTGAAAATTTCTAAAAATCTCGATATTTCAACGGCCGATTCCGGAAAAACGGTTGCAGTTATCAAAGAAACGATTCCGGAAATGAGTTCTAGAGCTCGAAATCCACAAGAAAATGTGTTTGGTTAAGTTTTGAAAATGTCAAAATTTGGCCGAAAAGTGAAGAAGAGGGGACCATTGGAAAATTATCACTTAAAAAAATTGGTCTAAAGAGTTTAGACAGTACTTCCCTTGCTGTCGGAAACGTGACGACTGCATGCCTATTATGTTTTTTTTTCGCAGTGGATTTCAAAGAAATGGGTTTTGTAGTTTCTGAGTAAATCAGTAAAATAAATTTACGCTTTCATTAATTTTTTTGAATCACCCTGTATATGCAAATCCAAAAAATATGAATGGAGTGATAGATCACAAGTACAGACTCATCATATTTTGTACATTTTAGATATGATTTATTCCACAAACTTTTGAGCTGACGTCATCAAGTTTTTGGAGGGGATAAGCAAATATTTTTTGACTAAAGATTTATGATGCTCTTTATAGCCTTAAAATATCTGCAACATTTCAAAGCATTCTGGTTAGCAGATTAAAAATTAAATTTCAAAATGTTGTTTTATAATTTTGATTTTTTTTTCCAAAAATCTGGACGTTTCGGGTGAAAAGTCGATTCAGAGTTGTAAACTACATGTGTAGGACTATGTTATTTTATACAATTGAAAACCCATTTACTATGTACAGTTTTGAAGTGACGTCATCGCTTTAGTGATGGGGATGATTAGACAAATTTTGGTTAGCGTTTTACCATCTACATGATATTCTTAATATAAGTACAAAATTTTTCAACAATCGGTCGAGTACTTTCGGAGATTATCTGTCTAATAAAAATCCGGGACAACAGACGGACAGACGGACAGACGGACGGACAGACGGACAGACAGACGGAAATGGGAGACCTATTTCTTCGTCTTCTAGGGGTCATGAAAGATCGAGAAAACGTAAAAGTAGAGAGTCGGCCGACGGACTCGATTACAATACTTCCTTTGCTTACGCTCGGGAAGTAAAAAGGACAATTGGGGTCCCCGAGAAGGTTTTACATAAAAAAAAACAGTTTTGACCCCCGAGAAGGTTTTATTTACATTTTTAAGAAAGACAGTTGGAACTCTCGAGCCGGTTTTACATTAAAAAAAGACATTTGGAGCCTCCGAGAAGATTTTACATTTTTAAAAAAGACAATTGGGACCACCGACAAGGTTTCACGTTCTAAAAAATACATTTGGGACCCCAGAGAAGGTTTCTCATAAAGGAAAAGATAATTGGGGTCCCCTAGAAGGTTTTAAATTTTTAAAATAGACAGTTGGGGCACCCGACAAGGTTTCACATTTTTAAAAAAGTCAGTTTGGACCCCCGAGAAGGTTTCACATTCTTAAAAACAGACATTAGGCGCCCCCGAGGAAGTTTTATATGTTGAAAAAAGGCAGCTGGGACCCCTGAGAAGGTTTCTCACTGAGAAAAAAGACATTTTTTTAAAAAAAGAGAGTTGGGAACTCCGATAAAGTTTCACATTCTTAAGAAAAGATATTTGGGGTCCCCGAGGATGTTTTACATTTTAAAAAAGACAGTTGGGGCCCGCGAGAAGGTTTTACATTAAAAAAAAATTATTTGGAGCCCCCGAAAAATTTTTACATTTTTGAGGACAGACAATTGGAACTCCAGAGAAGGTTTTACATTTTTAAAAAAGACACTTGGCACCGCCGAGAAAATTTTACGTTCTAAAAAAACATTTGGGATGCTCAGAAGAATTTACATTTTTAAAAAAGATAATTGGGGCCCCCGAGAAGGTTTTACATTTATAAAAAGACACTTAGGACTCTTATTAAGAAATAAGACTTTTGAGACCCCAGAGAAAATTTAATATTCTTAAAAAGCGTACACTTGGGGCCCCCCAGAAGGTTTCGCCTTCTTTAAGAAAGGACAGTTGGGACCCCCGAGAATGTATCACTTTTTTAAAACAAGAGACTTGGGACCCCCCAGAAAGTTTCACGTCCTTAAAATTGACATTTATCGCCCCCGAGAAGGTTTTATATTTTTAACTAAACAAGGGCGTATTTTCACCTTTTCAAGAAAATGGGGTAATCCCATCAATAAAATATCTTAATGACGTCATAAACACAGATAATAATTGATAATGCCACAGAAAAAGAAAAAAAAATCAAAGCGTATTCGTACACCACATTTATAGGACTAAATTTTTGTATAAGAGTTAAATCAAACATAGAATTCTTTAAAATGACGTCATATACAGACAACCAGGCAGACTATTTTTTTCGTACTCTAGGGATCATGAAACGTCGAGAAAATATAAAAGTGGCCATTCGTCCGATGGATTCAATTACTATACTTTCTTTGCTTAGGCTCGGAAAGTAAAATAGTTTCTATTACGCCTTAAAAACAAAATACTATAATGAGAAATCGGGAAATGCACACCTAGTGATTCACCCTGTATAATTCAACACCCAGGTGACTAAATAATTGGTTTGAAAATCTGGAATTAACGAAATAAAAATCTTCAAAGAGTAACTAGAGGCGCTTTATTTTTCATAACGCGTTACACAAGGACAATAATAAATTAATAAGTTATTTTTTCTACGTTAATTTTTGTACAAAATTTACAATAATATACTAATTAGTGACAATAAATTTTAACTTGAACTACATTTGATGATAACATAGCAACATACTCAAAAATATTATTAAAGACAGTGGACTGATTTCAGTATTACTGCTACTCGGCCTTGGGACTGGGGTGTTGCCAGTAGTATCTGAGGTCTGGTCAGTAGGCTCTGGGGTCTTCTCAGTAGGGTCTGGAGTTTTGTCAGTGGGCTCGGTAGATGGTTTTGGTGTCTCGTCAGTGGGCTCGGGCGTTGGTTCTGGTGTTTCGTCAGTTGGCTCTGGGGTGTCGTCAGTAGGCTCGGGTGTTGGTTCTGGGGTCTCATCAGTAGGCTCTGGGGTCTCGTCAGTTGGCTCGGGTGTTGGTTTTGGGGTCTCGTCAGTAGGCTCGGGTGTTGGTTCTGGGGTTTCGTCAGTAGGCTCTGTAGTCTCATCAGTAGGCTCCGGGGTTTCGTCAGTGGGCTCGGGTGATGGTTCTGGGGTCTCGTCAGTGGGCTCGGGCGTTGGTTCTGGTGTCTCGTCAGTAGGCTCGGGTGTTGGTTCTGGGGTCTCATCAGTAGGCTCTGGGGTCTCGTCAGTTGGCTCGGGTGTTGGTTCTGGGGTCTCGTCAGTAGGCTCGGGTGTTGGTTCTGGGGTCTCGTCAGTAGGTTCTGGAGTCTCATCAGTAGGCTCTGGGGTCTCGTCAGTTGGCTCGGGTGTTGGTTCTGGGGTCTCGTCAGTAGGCTCGGGTGTTGGTTCTGGGGTCTCGTCAGTAGGCTCTGGAGTCTCATCAGTAGGCTCTGAGGTCTCGTCAGTTGGCTCGGGTGTTGGTTCTGGAGTATCGTCAGTAGGCTCTGGAGTATCGTCGGTAGGCTCTGGAGTCTCATCAGTAGGCTCTGAGGTCTCGTCAGTTGGCTCGGGTGTTGGTTCTGGAGTATCGTCAGTAGGCTCGGGTGTTGGTTCTGGTGTGTCATCAGTAGGCTCTGGAGTGTCTTCAGTAGGCTCAGGTGTTGGTTCTGGGGTCTCATCAGTAGGCTCTGGAGTTTCATCAGTAGGTTCTAGAGTCTCGTCAGTAGGCTCGGGTGTTGGTTCTGGTGTGTTATCAGTAGGCTCTGGAGTGTTGTCAGTAGGCTCAGGTGTTGGTTCTGGGGTCTCATCAGTAGGCTTTGGAGTTTCATCAGTAGGCTCTAGAGTCTCGTCAGTAGGCTCGGGTGTTGGTTCTGGTGTCTCGTCAGTAGGTTCTGGGGTTTCATTACTGGGGTCGGGCGTTGGTTCAGGGGTCTCATCAGTAGGCTCTGGGGTCTCGTCAGTAGGTTCTAGAGTCTCGTCAGTAGGTTCTAGAGTCTCGTCAGTAGGCTCTGGAGTTTCATCAGTAGGCTCTGGTGTCTCGTCAGTAGGCTCTGGGGTCTCATCACTGGGCACTGGGGTCTCGTCAGTAGGTTCTAGTGTCTCGTCAGTAGGCTCTGGAGTTTCATCAGTAGGCTCTGGAGTAGTATCAGAAAATGGCTCCAGGAAGTCTGAGGTGTCTTCATTAAGTAATATTTTGGCACTGTTATCGTTGAATTCACGTTTTGACAACAGCACTTGAGTATTGTTCACTTTACAACTTATAACACTATAAGAGTCTTGAAGTTTATTACAAACATCGTCATGAGTAATAGAAGCCACACATTGCTGGATTTTTTCGGCCTTTCCATCTGTTTTAACAAAATATGAAAATCAAAAATATAGATTTTATCAATTCCGTAAATTGACCGTTTACCTTTAATGAACTCAGCTTGGAGACAGGCATAATTCGAAGAAGCTAAGTCACTTTTAGCTATCCCGATGAGTTCGGTATTGCGGAAAGTGCACTCTCTTGTTGGAACTTCCGATTCTTCGCAAGTCTTTCCACGACATGTAGGACACTTCAGCGATACGCCTAAGAATAACAAGTTTCAGAAAATTTACCAATTCAAACTTTCAAAAGTGAATTCTATAAATAAATGTGACACTAACATTGTGTTATCAATAATAATTTGCAAAATACTTGATTTACCTGAGTGGATCACAACTAAAACTGAAAAGATAATGTAAGTGTAATCCATTTCGAAAAAGTCTCACAACTGCTTTCACAAAATGACCCAATGCTCTTCTACACTACAATGTGTTCATCAATCATTGAGAGTATCATTATATACGCATCCGTAATCCGAATGCATTTTTTTCTAGTTGCCCTATCAATGCAGTGATAACGAATTAAAAAAATATTGAATATTTTATTGTTTCACAATATTGATATAATCTCTGATAACCTGCATCTTTAGAAACAAAAGGAAATAATCTAACTTTAACAGGAAACCTTTTGACTCACCTCTTGCTTTGTGATTGCGAACTAACAAACAAAAATTGATTATCACTTTGCCATTCTTATAACAGCATTCCATTTTAGTTTGTGAGTTAAATTGTAAAACATTGTTAAACAATCTGTGATACCAAGAGGAAGTACTTTAAGACAGTATATTTTTACTTCTATGGTGAATACATGTTGCCTGTTGGGAAATAAAACAAGAAAGTACTAGAAAAATGAACACAAAATAACCAAAACAAAAACTAAAGCAGTTGCTATTTGAAACGTTGCTGAACTCTCCACACTGGATTTATACTCCGGACCTCGAGTTACCGAAACAGGGGATGATAATTGAACTAAATACGGCTCTGTACGTGGAGGTGGTTCATTGTATGGGTTCGGTTCAACTGCCGGAGACAGATCTTCCAAAGATGGTGCGTCTGGTAGCCCTGGATCGTCAAAAAATGGCGACTCTGATACATCTTCATGAGCTTCTACCACCTCGCAAAAAACTTTATCTTTCCCATACTGTTTAAAATATGTCTGGCATATGCTTTCTTTGCTTCCAACTGCACATTCTTTCAAATGATAATCAACGTTATCTGTAAACTCGAAATTAGGCATGATTCAGCTCAAAAAAATAATTTTGCAACCTTTTGGAAACACAACATCCACGCATACATATTTCGAGTCTGTTGTGTACACCGTATTCCAAGTTATTTTCAAAACACTATTTTTCTTGCTTAGTTTGCACTCTACCAGCTCCTCTTTAGTGTGAGCACAATCTTGGCAAGTCGGACATCGCGCCGAAAAACCTTTAAACAATAATTTAGTAAGGGAGGATTTTTTTAAACGATGTGGGACTCACCAGTGTGCACAAAAGACGCAACTAAAAAAAGAAGAATCACTTTCATTTTTGGTTTTAAACTTACGTTAATCACTATGATCTGAACACAACTGGGAGACGGTCAAGAACCAAATTCGCTTAAATAATTCGCCATTTACTTTGGACGAATTAACTGATATTGGTTTATGGCCTCTCATTATAGGTAAATTACTTTTTGTGTTGTATTGTGCAATTTCGTGTCAGCAACACAAAGAAAATGTACCGTAATAAGAACATTTATTACTTTTACGATTTATATAAAGATTTTATTAGAAGACGAAATTGAAATTATTTTGAATTCTTGATAAATACTGTAATTGTGACCACGCCTTAAATAGAAGATTTCACAGATTCTAGAATGGAAAAAGTAGGTCTTCCATGTTTACATATTTGTGTTTGTTTGATTTTGAAACTTACATTGTTAATTTTAAAATTACAATTTATTAAGAATATTTAGATGAGCATGGTTTATTCACCTTTGTTGCATGTGCGTGCATTTCTCGCATGTCACAAGTTAACGCATTAAACAAAGTTTAATACCAACTGTAGATAAGATAATCAATAGAATTGTTGCATTTCCTTTTAAATATTTCTTAATTAATGAATAATTGGTAATTAATATGTCTGTATTTAAGGAAATAGTCAAATTTAACTGATTAGGGAAATAGATAGCATCGAACACGTGTTTATACTCACAAAAGGCAATAAGTGACCACCTCGAAACCCTTTTTAAAAACTACCACACTATTTAGTGGATAATATCCAGAATTTTTCTAATCATCCCCACATTTAAATTTTATAAAATAACGTATCCATCCACTTGTGATTTATGAATCCGTGTTGAGTTTTACACAAGGCATACAGATTTTTCGAAAAATCGAATGCTTTGGAATCTTGCAAACATTTTAGGGTTGTGGAAATCGTTAATGAAAATTTGTCGGTTCAACCTCCAAAAATTTCTCAAATTTTCCAATTTTTGGCAAACGTCAAAATTTAGAAACCTAAGTTAGATTTCTCGATTTCCTAAATTTTCAATTAAATTTTTCGATTTATCGATTTTTAGATTTTCAATTTATATCGATTTATCAATGTTTCGATTTTTTAATTTTAAATATTTTAATTTTAAACGATTTTTCGAGTGTTTGATGTTTCAGTTTCTCGATTTTTGAATCTTCCGAATCTTCGATTTATCGATATTTTAATTTTTCGATTTTTTAAATTTTGGATTTTTCAATTTCTCCATTTTTCCGTTCTTCGATTTTTCTTTTTGTCAACTTTTCCATTCTTAAAATTTTAGGATTTTTAATTTCGGTTTCTTGATCCTTCGATTTCTTGATCTTTCGATTTTTCGACTTCTCGGTTTTAGAATTTTCAGTTTTTCGATTTTCAAAATTTTGTATTTTTCAATTTTTCGGTTTTTCAATCTTTCAACTTTTCGATTTCTAGATTTATCAAGATTTCAGTGTTCGATTTCCTTAAAATTTAAATTTCTCAAATTTTTCAACTTTAGATTTCTCCATTTTAGGCTATATCAAATACTCGATGTTTTCATTTTTCGACTTCTTAATATCTCGATTTATTACTCTCTTGATCTTTTAATGTTTCCGTTTTTCGTTGTTTTAATTTTTCGACTTTTCGGCTCTTCGATTTTTCACTTTTTCAATTTTTCGATCTTAATATTTCGATTTCCCAATTTTCGAGAATTCATTTTGAGGATTTTTCAACTTCTAGATTTCTGGTATTTTAGATTTTTCAGTTTTTCGATTTCCCAATTTTCCGGTATTTCAATTTTATGATTCTTCAGTTTTTTGACTTTTCAATTTCAATTTTTGGCGTTCAAAAGTTTTCGATTCTTCAATTTCTCGTTTTTTCGACTTTTCATTATATAGATTTTTTGATTCGCCCATTTTTCGATTTTTCAATATTCCATTTCTCAAGTTTTCGATTTTTCCGTTTTTTAATTCTTCAATTTTTCAGTTTTTCAATTTTTCAACTCTGATTTTTCCAATTTTTGAATTTTTAGAGGTTCCATTTTTCGACTTGTCGATTTCTCAATTTTTTCGATATTTCAGGTTTGGGATTTTTTAATATTTCGATTTTTAAATTTTACATTTTTCTATGTTTCGACTTCTTGGTTATAGATTTTTCAATTGTTTAATTTTTAAAATTTTTAAATTTTCAAGTTCTCAAATTTTGATCTTTTGATATTTTTATATTTCTGTTTTACGATCTTTCAATTTTCTGATTCTTCAATTTTCCGATTTTTCAATCCTTGTCGTCCCAATGTTTCCGATTTTTCGATTTCTCGTTTTTTCAACTTTTCGTAGTATCGATTTTTTTGTTTGTCAAATTTTCAATTTTTCAATATTTCAGTTTTGGGATTTTTTGAGATTTTTTTTTAATTTTTCGATTTTTTTATTATGTACCGATTTTTTGATGTTTCGTTTCTTCAATTTTTTAAACTTTAGATTTTTCAAGTTTTTCATGCTTCTCTTTCCCAATCTTTCAATTTTGCGACTTCGCAGTTATAGATTTTTCAGTTTTTTGATTTATAAAATTTTTGAATTTTCGAATTCTCAAATTTTGATTTTTCGATTTATGGAGTTTTAGATTTATGGATATTTAATATTTTCGATTTCCAAATTTTCGATAATTCGGTATAGGGATTTTCGAATTTGTGGATTTCTCGTGTTTTTGATTTTTTTAATTCTTCAATTTTTTGTGTTTGCAATTTTTCAGTTTTCGATTTATTAAATTTTTGATGTTTAAATTTTTGATTTTTCTACTTTTTGATTTCTGAATTTTTCAGTGTTCCATTTATCAATTCGATATTGCATTTTTGGAATTTTTTAATATTTCGATTTTTCGATTTATCAATTTATTAATTTTTCAATACTTCAGTTTTGGGATGTTTTAATATTTTAGATTTTTAGATTTCTGGATTTTTCGATTTTTTTGTATTTCCATTTTTCTGATTTTTCGAATTTTTAATTTTGGATGTTTCGATTTTTGAGTTTTTCGATTTTTCAATTTTTCAATTTTTCACTGTTTAATTTTTCCACTTTGGGCTGTTTAATTTCTGGATTTTTCGATTTATGAATTTTTCGATATTTAAGTTTTGGGATTTTTTAATATTTCGATTTTTCGATTTATCAATTTATTAATTTTTCGATATTTTAGTTTTGGGATTTTTTAATATTTCGAATTTTTTGAATTTTAGATTTTTAGTTTTTTAGTTTTTTTTTTCAATTTCCCAATTTTTAATGTTTCCACCTTGGGCTGTTATAATTTCTCGATTTTTCGATTTCTCAATTTTCCGATAGATAGTGTTTTGAGATCTTTAAATTTTTTGATTCTTCAATTTTTTTTGGAATTTTTCAATTTTCTATTTTTGGCCTTCCAAAGTTTTCGATTTTTCGTTTTTTCTGCTGTTCGTTGTATTGATTTTTTACTTTTTGCCCATTTCTCGATTTCCCGATTTTTCATTTTTCGATATTTTAGTTTTGGGATTTTTTGATTTTTAAAATTCTAATTTTTTTAATTTTTTGTTTTTGCAATTTTTCAATTTTCGATTTATCGATTTCTAGTTTTTTCGACTTTTCGCTGTATTAATCAATTATTTGATTTACTCATTTCTTGATTACTGAATTTTTCGATGTTCCATTTCTCGACTTCTCGGTTTTTTAGTTATTCAATTCTTCAATTTTTCAATTTTTGAGTTTCCCCATTTTTCGAGTCTCTGATTTTTAAAATTTTCGACTTTTAAATTTTCCATTTTTCGACTATTCGATTTCTTAATTTCTCAATTTTTCAAAACTTTAGTTTTGGAAAATTTCAATTTTTCAATTTCTCTACTTCTCGATTTCTCAATTGTTCAGTTCTTCAATTTTTTGATTTTCCAATTATTCGGATTTTCGATTTTTCAATTTTTCAGTTTTCCGATTTCTCAAGTTTCTAATTTTTACATTTTCGATTTATTAAATTTTTGATCTTTTACATTTTTGATTTTTCGACTTTTTGTTTTCTTAACTTTTCAATGTTCCACTTATCAATTCGATATTTCATTTTTGGAATTTTTTAATATTTGCATTTTTCCATTTATCGATTTATTAATTTTTCAATATTTCAGTTTCAGGATTTTTCAGCTTTTTAGATTTCTGGATTTTTCGATTTTTTTGTTTCCATTGTTTTGATTTTTCGAGTTTTTAATTTTGGATGTTTCGATTTTTCAACTTTTCGATTTTTCAATTTTTCAATTTTTCAATGTTTAATTTTTCTACTTTGAACTGTTTAATTTCTGTAATTTTCGATTTATTAATTTATTAATTTTTCGATATTCAAGTTTTGAGATTTTTTAATATTTTGAATTTTTTCGATTTCTCTACTTCTCGATTTTCCAATTTTTCAATTCTTCAATTTTTTGTTTTCTAAATTTTTCAATGTTCCACTTTTGGGATTTTTAGATTTTCCTATGTTTCGATTTATCGGCTTAACAATGATTCGATATTTCTTTTTTGGAATTTTTTAATATTTCGATTTTTCAATTTATCAATTTTTTGATTCTTCGATTCTTTGTTTTTGCAATTTTTCAGTTTTTGGCGTTGAAAACTTTTCAATTTTTCGATTTCTCGTTTTTTCGACTTTTCGTTGCATCCATATTTTTTTTATTAATAGATTTGGTCGCAACGATTTTTTGATTTGGCCATTTTTCAATTTTCCGATTTTTCAAGTTTAGACTTTTGAAATTTCCCATTTCTCGTTTTTTCGATTTCTCAATTTCTCAGTTTTAGGATTTGTCGATTTTTCAATTTTTCGATTTGTCGACTTTTCCATGCTCGATTTGTGGACTTCTCGATTTTTCAATTTATCCAATCTTCGATTTTTTGATTTGCCAATTTTTCAGTTTTTCGATTTTCCAATTATTCAGTTTTCCGATTTTTCAAGTTTCTAATTTTTCAAATTTTCGACTTATTAATTTTTGATTTTTCGACTTTTTGATTTCTCAATTTCTCAATTTTTCAATGTTACACTTTTGAGATTTTGATTTTCCGATATCAATTTATTAGTTTTTCACTATTTCAATTTTGAAATTTTTAGTAAGTATTTTAGATTTTTCGATTTTTCGATTTTTTGGTATTCCCAATTTTTTGATTTTTGAAATTTTTGATTTTTCGAGTTCTCAATTTTCGATGTTTCGATTTTTCAATTTTGTATTTATCAATTTTTCAATTTTTCTACTTTGGGCTGTTTAAATTTCTCGATTTACCAATTTATTAATTTTTCGATGTTTCAGTTTTGGGATTTTTTAATACACATTTCGATTTTTTAAATTTTAGATTTTGCATTTTTTTGGTGTTTACAATTTTTTGATTTTTGGACTTTTCAATTTTTGATGTTTTGACTTTACAATTTTTCAATTTTCAATTTTTTTACTTTGGACTGTTTCAGTTTCTCGATTCTTCGATTTCTCGATGTTTCAATTTTTCGAAAATCCAGCGATCAGTTTTTTACAAAATTTATGGAAACCTTGATGTTGATATTTTAGCGTTTTCAAAAGGAAGGGAAATGAGTGATAAACAACAGAAATTAGATAAATCTTTTCCAAAATTCTTGAGGTTACAATTAATCAAATTGGATTTTCTGACAATAAAAAAAAACACATTTGTGACTTGCTTAATGTTTCTAAAATTTAATTTTTTGCGAAAAAATGTCCATGTGAACAAGTTCTACAAGAATTATTTAAAAACATTCATACTGTAATAGACAAACATAAAAAATGTATAAGTTTCGTTAAATCGGATTCTCCTTAAATCTTAACCTTACACTTACAAACATTTACATACACTACAAAAATACTAAAAATGCAAATAACAAAAAGTTCAAACTTCATACAAAAATTAGTAAACACTTATAGAAGTGGAACATTAACTCCTGTACCTAGAAAACGATAAGGTAATAAATAATTAACTATTGATCATTATCATCAAAATATCCGACAGGTCCACAACAACAATACTTTCACAATACTCTTGACCTACAAACAACCTAATCTTTAAAAACCAACCCAACTTTCCTCCCCCTAAACCACTCCTCAAACCCCGACACCCTACTATACACCACCGGCTTCACCCCACACCCCACCCCAAACGACACAACCCCCACCAACACATCCCTCTGCATCAAAAACCCCCCATGATCAAAAAAACACGACTTCTTCTCAGCACAAAAAGTAGCATCACTGACTTGATCAAAATACGCACCCCGACAAACCCGGTACGACATCAGCTTCACGTCCACCGCCACCAACTCGCCCCCCGCCCACCCCAAAGCCGTCGCACTGCTATTGGCCAAATACTTGTAACTCCTCCTCGGCAGAGCCACAAAACCCACCTCCTTCTCCTTGAAGAACCGCCCTACACTAATCACCGCTAAGTTATTCGCCAGAGGACTCTCCTTGTACCCATCGTGGACCACCACCTCCTCGACGTCGTACCACAAGCCGTACTTCATTTTCTCGAAACACGACACCACCTTCATCTTCTCGTGGGGTTCGTCCAGGAGAGGGTCGACGCAATGGGCGGCCGTCAGGACCCACTTCTTGGAGATGATGGCCACTCCGCAGACGAACTGGAAGTCGTCGTCGCCGAAGAGTACCACCAGAGCTGCCATGAATTTGTATTTGTTCCTGTTGTGGGTGGTTGCTGCTGAGTTGTCCCGTTTTTGGATTTTGGGGATTTTTTTCGTGATGGTTCGGGTTTGTTCACATTTGACCATGGAGTGCATGATCACGTGGACCAGGAGGAGCAAATTTGCCAGAGATATGACCACGAGGGTTGTTATTATGACGCAGGAGACGCTGGTCATTGCACCTCATTTGCATGATTTTCAAGTGGAGACTGGTTATTCACCTGCATATGCGTGCATTGGTTGCATGTTAAGGGGTACGTGGGGGTGGTTTTGAATCGACGTGATAAGATAAGGGAGTGGGTAAAGATGGTTGATTGATGGGCAGATAGTGTCATATTTGAGGTGGACTGATTGATGAGAGTGTTATCAGTTGTAGTGGTTTAAGTGTAATGGTGCGGTGATATAAACAGATTAGGGAATGATTTGCTGATGACGTTATAGAAGATGAAAAGAGAAAAAATTGAATTATTGTAGAATGATTTCACTTTGGCTAACTCCACGCAGATCAGATCCGAGAAAGGTCATAAGAGAAATCTCCAGTTAAAGAACTTTCAAATAACAATCATTCAGAAACACACAAATACTACAAAATATTGTACCTAAACGGACTTTCTTTCGTATGCCCAGAAAATAAAAAAACATTCGTTAAAAAAAAATTGTTCGAAAAATGTTCAGTATTAACACTTTCACTATTAATAACATTTTTACGCTTTCCTGACCTTTCATGACCTACAGAGTACGAAGAAATAGGTCTGCCGTTTCCGTCCGTCTGTCTGTCTGTCTGTCCATCTGTCCGCCTGTCTGCGTTTTAAATTTTGGATTTTCGAATTTTCAATTCTTCACTTTTTCCATGTTTCAGTTTTGGGATTTTTTAGTATTCCAAATTTTCGATTTTTTGAATTCTGGAATTTTCGATTTCTCGACTTTTTACATTTGGATTTTCAATTTTTCGTTATTAAAATTTTAGATTCTTCAATTTTTCGACTGTTTTATACTTCGATTTCTCAATTTTTCAATTTTTCGATATTTTAACTTTTAAGATTTTAGGTTTTTCGATTTCTTAAATTTTCAGGTCTTCTATATTTTTTCAATTTTCGTAATTTTGAAATTTTCGATTTTCCAATTTATTTTTTAATTTTTCGATGTTTCGAAATATAAATAGGCCAAAATCGAAAAGTTAAAAATGGAAAAATTGATAAATCGAGAGACTGAACAATCGAAACATCCGAAACTCAAAAACTTGAAAAATTCAAATTACGATTTGTAAATATGAAACAGTCGAAAAACTGAAAAATCTAAAGTTTAAAAACGAAAAACTGAAAATCCAAGAAATAAAAAATCGAGCAATCGGAAAATCCACGAAGAATCGAAACATTGAAAAATCCCAAAACTGAAAGCAATATCCAAAAATTGAGGAATTAAAAAATTGAAAAATCGAGAAATCGAGAAACCAAAAAAGCAAAGTCGAAAAATCTAAGATTTGGAGAACTGAAAAATAAAACTTTGTGGAGTCAAGAAATGAGAAAATCAAAAATAGATTAATTGAGAAATCGGAAAAGTGAAAATTTAGCAACGTCAAAATTTGAAATGTTGAAAGTCGAAAAATCGAAGATTTGAAGAACTGAAAATTGAAAGTTTGTGAAGTCAAGAAATGAGAAAATCAAAAATAGATTATTTGAAAAATCGTAAAAGTGAAAATTTAGCAACTTCAAAATTTGAAATATTGAAAAATAGAAATACTGAAGAACTGAAAGATCAGAAAATCGAAAACTTAAAACATTGAATAATAATTAAAACATCGCAAAAATTGAAAAATCGAGAAATTGATCAATTTTAAAAAAGAAAAATTGGAAAATCTAAAACTCAAAAATTCGGAAAATTGAAAAATTGAAATAAAGAAGAACTGAAAACTCGAAAAATCGAAGCATGAAACAGTCGAAAAATTGAAAATCCATAAGGTAAAAATCGAGAAATCAGAACATCCAGGAGTCCAAAAATCGAAAAGTTCAAAAATCGAAATACTTAAAAATCAAAAAACTGAAAGAAATATCCGAAAAATTAAGAAATTCAAAAATGGAAAATTGAGAAATCGAAAAACTAAAAAGTAAAGTCAAAAAACAGTAAGCTTAAAAAATCGAAAAACTGAAAAATCAAAAACGTGAAAAATTGAAGAATTGAAAAAAATCGAAACTTTGGGAAGTCGGGAAAGGGGCAAATAAAAAAAAGGATTACTTCAAAAATCGGAAAACTGAAAATTTAAAAACGTCAAAATTTTAAAAATCGAAGTATTTAAAAATCGTATCATTGAAACATAGGAAAATTGAGAAATCGAAAATTAAAAAGATCGAGAAATCAAAAATTTGAAGAACCGAAAAATTTCAAAAAAGAAAAACTGGAAAAACTAAAATTTAAAAATTCAAAAAATTGAAAAAATTTAATAAAAAAGAACTGAAAACTCGAGAAATCGAAGTATGAAACAGTCGAAAAATTGAAAATCCAGAGGGTAAAAAATCGAGAAATCAGAAAATCCAGGAGTCCAAAAATCGAAAAGTTAAAAAATCGAAATACTTAAAAATCAAAAAACTGAAAGAAATATCCAAAATATTAAGAAATTCAAAAATGGAAAATTGAGAAATCGAAAACCTAAAAAGTAAAGTCAAAAAATCGTAAGCTTAAAAAATCGAAAAATTGAAAAATCAAAAACGTGAAAAATTGAAGAATTGAAAAAAATCGAAACTTTGGGAAGTCGGGAAATGGGAAAATAAAAAAAAGATTACTTCAAAAATCGGAAAACTGAAAATTTAAAAATGGCAAAATTTTAAAAATTGAAATATTTAAAAATCGTATAATTGAAGAGAACCAAAATTGGGAAATAGTATAATTGAAACATAGGAAAATTGAGAAATCGAAAATTTGAAGAATGGTAACTTTGTAAAAGCCCCAAATTTTTTGAAATATAAATAGGCCAAAATCGAAAAGTCAAAAAAGGAAAAATTGATAAATCCAGAGATTGAACAATCAAAACATCGAAACATCTGAATCTCGATAAATCGAGATCTCAATAAACAGTCGAAAAATTAAAAATCTAAAATTTAAAAAAAGAAAAACTGAAAATTTAAAAAACAAAATATCCAACAATCGGAAAATTCAGTCGTCGAAAAATCGAAAAGTTACACATTGAAACAACCGAATCTCAATAAGTCGAGATCTCAATAAACTGATAATCGAAAATTTAAAAATTCGGAAAATTGAAACATCAAAATTAAAAGATCCAAAAACTAAAAAATCGAACAATCGAAAATTCAAGAAACCGAAAAATCGAAAAATCAAGAATCGAAACATTGAAAAATCCCAAAACTGAAAGAAATATCCGAAAAATTAAGAACTAAAAAAATGGAAAATTAAAAAATCGAAAAACTAGAAAGTAAAGTAAAAAAATCGTAAGCTTAAAAAATCGAAAAATTGAAAAATCAAAAACCTGAAAAATTGAATAATCGAAAATTTAAAAGTTCGGAAAATTGGAAAATTAAAATTCGAGAAATCGAAAAATCTAAAATTTTGAAAATTGAAAAATTCAAATATCGATTTTTAAATATCAAACAGTCGAAAAATTGAAAAATCTAAAGTTTAAAAACGAAAAACTGAAAATCCAAAAAATAAAAAATCAATCAATCGAAAAATGCACGAAGAATCAAAACATTGAAAAATCCAAAAACTGAAAGAAATATCCAAAAATTGAGAAATTAAAAAATTGAAAAATCAAGAAATCGAAAACCAAAAAACAAAGTCGAAAAATCGAAGATTGAAGAACTGAAAACTGAAAGTTTGTGAAGTCAAGACATGAGTAAATCAAAAATAGATTAATTGAGAAATCGGAAAAGTCAAAATTTGAAATATTGAAAAATAAAAAGACTGAAGAACTGAAAAATCAGAAAATCAAAAATTTGAAACATTGAACAATAATTAAAACATCGAAAAAATTGAAAAATCGAGAAATCAAAAAATTGAGAAATTGATCAATTTTAAAAAAGAAAAATTGGAAAATCTAAAACTCAAAAATTAGGAAAATTTAAAAATTGAAATAAAGAAGAACTGAAAACTCGAGAAATCGAAGTATGAAACAGTCGAAAAATTGAAAATCCAAAAAATTGAAATATTTAAAAATCAATAAACCGAAAGAAATATCCAAAAAATTAAGAAATATCCAAAAAATTAAGAAATATACAAAAAATTAAGAAATTAAAAAATGTAAAATTGAGAAATCGAAAAACTAAAAAGTAAAGTCAAAAAATCGTAAGCTTAAAAAATCGAAAAATTGAAAAATCAAACACCTGAAAAATTGAATAATCGAAAATTTAAAAGTTCGGAAAATTGAAAAATTAAAATTCGAGAAATCGAAAAATCTAGAATTTTTAAAATTGAAAAATTCAAATATCGATTTCTAAATACAAAACAGCCGAAAAATTGAAGAATCTAAAGGTTTAAAACGAAAAACTGAAAATCCATAAGGTAAAAATCGAGAAATCAGAAAATCCAGGAGTCGAAAAATCAAAAAGTTAAAAACTGAAAGAAATATCCAAAAAATTAATAAATTAAAAAATGGAAAATTAAGCAATCGAAAAACTAAAAAGTAAAGCAAAAAAATTGTAAGCTTAAAAAATCGAAAAATTGAAAAATCAATAACGTGAAAAATTAAAGAATTGAAAAAAAATTTAATTTCGGGAAGTCGGGAAATGGTGAAATAAAAAAAAGATTACTTCAAATCGGAAAACTGAAAATTGAAATACTTATTTAAAAATCGTATAATTCAAGAGGACAAAAATTGAGAAATCGTATCATTGAGAGATAGGAAAATTGAGAAATCGAAAATTTGAAGAATGGAAAATTTGAAAAAGCCCGAAATTATTTCAAATATAAATAGGCCAAACTCGAAAAGTTAAAAATGGGGAAATTTACAAATCGAGAAATTAAACAATCAAAACATCGAAACATCCGAAACTCGATAAATCGAGATCTCAAGAAACTAAGAAACTGAATTATCGAAAATTTAAAAATTCTAAAAATTGAAAAATTCAAATATTGAACGGAAAATTTGAGTAATCGAAAAATCTAGATTCTAAAAAATTGAAAAATTAAAATATCAATTTCTAAATATAAAAGAGTCGAAAAATTGAAAAATCTAAAATTTAAAAAACGAAAAACTGAAAATTCAAAAAACGAAAAATTCAGATGTCGAAAAATCGAAAAGTCGAAGAATCGAAATATTGAAAATCACAAAACTGAAAAAAATATCCAAAAATTGAGAAATTAAAAAATTGAAAAATCGAAGCACTGAAGAACTAAAAAATCAAAACTTTGAGACGTCGAGAAATGGGAAAATCAAAAGTAGATTTATTGAGAAATCGGAAAAGTGAAATTTAGCAAGAGTAAACAGCAAAGATTAGGAAGTAGATTTTCCATTTTATTATTGTTATTATTATTATTATTTATTGTCAATTATCATCTCTTAGAGATTTTATTAGATGAAACTACTGCACTCGTTGTTGCGAATTTTTTTAATATTCAAATATTACTCATGTCAAAATAAGCAAAAAAAAAATATATTGAAGTAATAAATAAATACATGTGTTTACGAAAAAATTAGATATCTTTATTAGAATGTAGATAATTATCAAAATACTCTATTCTATATATACATATTCTGAATTTACGAAGCTTTTTTAATACAGAAAACTGCAAAAATAAATAAAAATAAAAAAAATGTTTCTAAAAAATCCGTTAAAACTAAAATAGTTGGATTAATTACGTCCAGTATAGATAAATCAAAGCGACTAGTAAAACTCCTATAGACGTTTGGTTGATTTCTGCGTGTCCTCGTGGCACTTTTGTTGTGGTGGTTTTAGAAGTAGTGGGAGTTGTAGACGGAGTGGTTGTTGTTGTCACAGGAGTGGTCGTTGTTGTTGTGGGAGTACTTCTCGTTGTTGTCGGACTAGTTGTTGTTGTTTTAGGGGTGGTCGTGGTCGTCGTTGTCGCAGCAGTGGTCGTGGTTATTGTGGGAGTTGTCGTCGATGTTGTGGGAATAGTTGTAGTTGTAGACGGAGTGGTTGTTGTCACAGAAGTGGTCGTCGTTGTTGTGGGAGTAGTTGTCGTTGTTGTCGGAGTGGTTGTTGTTGTTTTAGGGGTGGTCGTGGTCGTCGTTGTCGCAGCAGTGGTCGTGGTTGTTGTGGGAATTGTCGTCGTTGTAGACGGAGTGGTTGTTGTTGTAGTAGGAGTGGTTGTAGTTGTTGTAGGAGTGGTAGTGGTTGTAGTAGGAGTGATCGTCGTTGTAGACGGAGTGGTTGTTGTTGTCACCGGAATGGTCGTTGTTGTTGTGGGAGTAGTTGTCGTTGTTGTCGGACTAGTTGTTGTTGTTTTAGGGGTGGTCGTGGTCGTCGTTGTCGCAGCAGCGGTCGTGGTTATTGTGGGAGTTGTCGTCGTTGTAGACCGAGTGGTTGTTGTTGTTGTACGAGTGGTTGTAGTTGTTGTAGGAGTGGTAGTGGTTGTAGTAGGAGTGGTCGTCGTTGTTGTGGGAGTAGTTGTCGTTGTAGACGGAGTGGTCGTTGTTGTCACAGGAATTGTAGTTGTTGTTGTGGGAGTAGTTGTTGTTGTTGCCGGACTAGTTGTTGTTGTTTTAGGGGTGGTCGTGGTTATTGTGGGAGGTGTCGTCGTTGTAGACGGAGTGGTTGTTGTTGTAGTAGGAGTGGTTGTAGTTGTTATAGTAGGAATGGGCGTCGTTGTTGTGGGAGTAGTTGTCGTTATCGTAGGAGTGGTCGTGGTCGTCGTTGTGGTCGGAGTGGTTGTCGTTGTAGCAGGAGTGGTAGTTGTTGTAGTAGAAGTGGTTGTAGTTATAGCAGGAGTAGTTGTCGTTGTAGTTGGAGTGCTTGTTGTTGTTCTAGGGGTGGTCGTGGTCGTAGTTGTCGCAGTAGAGGTCGTCGTTATTGTGGGAATGGTCGTCGTTGTTGTGGAAGTAGTTGTTGTAGTAGTAGGAAGGGTATTCGTTGTCGCAGCAGAGATCGTGCTTATTGTGGGAGTGGCCGTCGTTGTAGTAGAAGTGGTTGTCGTTGAAGCAGGAATAATTGTCGTTGTAATCGGAGTGGTTGTTGTTGTTCTAGGAGTGGTCGTGGTCGTCGTTGTTGCAGCGGAGGTCGTGGTTATTGTGGGAGCGGTCCTCGTTGTTGTGGGAGTGGTTGTTGTTGTAGTAGGAGTGGTCGTCGTTGTACTAGAAATGGTTGTCGTTATAGCAGTTGTCATTGTAGTCGGAGTGGTTGTTGTTGTTCTAGGAGTAGTCGTGGTCGTCGTTGTCGCGGCAGAGATCGTGGTTATTATGGGAGTGGTCGTCGTTGTAGCAGAAGTAGTTGTCGTTGTAGTCGGAGTAGTTATTGTTGTCATGGGCGTGGCTGTCGTCGTTGTAGTTGTTGTTGTCGACTCACCATCTCCTGGTTCATCTGGTTTTCCGACTGTTAAAGATTGAGGTTTCTTCAAAGTACACGTTTTCACGTTGTATTTGCTTCGCAGCCCTTCGCAGACGTCGTTTCCAGAAGTCGTAACTACGCACTGACCAATTTGTTCCAGTTTTTCGCCTATGTATTAAATCATAATATTTTTATAAACTTTTGCTTTAAAATGTGAAACTTACCGATGTAGTATTCCACATACAAACATGAATAACTTGCTGCAGTTCTTGATAAACTTGTTTGAAATAGGGGATGCGGATGAAGGACAGAACATACTTTCATCGGCACCCTTGGTTGGGTGCACTCGGTGCCCTTACATGTTGGACATTGAAAAGCTAAAGCTAAAGAAATAAATATCGTTAGTATTTTGTCACCACCCGCAGTCCGCGTATCATTTTTATTATTTTTGTTTTAAGAATATTTACGCAGCGTTATAGAAATATAAGTACCGAGAGAAAAGTAAAAAACATGGTAAAAAACAGCCTTGTATTTTTAAAAGTTTGTCGTTGATCGTTGCATTTTCAACCAATACTTTCAAGTTGAGGTTAATCCAACAAGACAGAAATTCTATCAAAGACAACTCTTCAAAAATCCGTAGCTATCTTGGATTGTGTTTTTATTGTTCTCTCGGTATAAAACTAACACAAACTAAAAAAACAGAAAAATTATCTGTAGCAAACATTAAATACAAATAAAAACATAATATTAAAAATATTATGTCATTTTATAACATTACTGCGATCATAAAATCACAAAATAGGTAACTTACGATTACAGCAACTCACCGGAGGTGGCTAGAGCCACAACGGCACACAATAACACGATGCACCTCATTGTACTCCTCAGAAGTTCACACCAAAAAGTAACAAAAAATTGCTCCTGAAGCTTAAGTAACCGAAACAAGGTTAGATAATTTTTTGTGAAATCCTGAGATTTGATTGCCCAGATGCATATTTCAAAATAAATATCGTAATCGAACGCAAGTGATAACGCATATTACTAATTGTGATTCAGAAAATAAGTGGAACAAAGAGATTAAGTACCACTTAACCGTACAAAAACAGAATTTTCACGCCATTTGCGTGCTAATTTCATGATGTCATTATGTATTACATTTCCTAGAATACGAAAAAGTAGGTCTCTTGTTTACGTCTGTCCGAATACTAGATTGATTAATGATTACTGTGAAATGTTAGATGGACTTTAAGAATATTCTAGATCTAAAAAAAATATTTGGTGACAGCAACTTCAAATGTTTCTAGGTAAATTCTATTTAAAATGTGCAAAAGTAGGAGTGGTCGTAGCCAAAATAATGTCTTGCTGTACCCATGTTTTACTAATCAATTAAAATTGTACAGAAAATTTTTCAAATTAAATTAGAAATGAGAAAACCGAGTTCATGTAACCGTGAAGAGAAGGAGGGAAGATGTATTTAAAAAGCTTTATATATAAATATAAATACAATATATATACAAAATGTTCACTGCGCGAAAATAAACAAAAGAATACTGTGAAAAATTACTGAATAAGGAATACAAATGGTCACAAAAAATGTGCATATTTTTCTTAGACTATTGGTAATAATAATTAAAATACTATTATATACATATTCTGACCTCACAAAACTGGTGCTTTTTTAAACACGCGAAACTTTAACAATAAATAGAAATAATCATTCTCTTCGCAACATTCGTAAAAACGAAATTAGTTATATACATTATGTCCAGCACAGATACATCAATGCAATCAGCAAAATTCCAATAGACGTTTGGTTGATCTCTGCGTGCCCTCCTGGAGGCTTTTCTGTAGTGGTGGTGGTTTTAGAAGTAGAGACTGTAGTGCTCGAGGATGAAGTAGGAGTGCTCGAGGATGTAGTAGAACTGGTAGTTGGCGTTGTAGTAGGAGTGGTTTTAGTCGTTGTCGGAGTGGTAGTAGTTGGAGTGGTTTTAGTCGTTGTCGGAGTGGTAGTGGTTGGAGTGGTGGTGGTTGTCGTAGGAGTGGTTGTCGTTGTTGTCGGAGTGGTCGTCGTTGTAGTAGGTGTGGTTGTGGTAGGAGTGGTCGTCGTTGTAGTAGGAGTGGTTGTCGTTGTAGTAGGAGTGGTTGTAGTTGTAGGAGTGGTAGTGGTTGTAGTAGGAGTGGTTGTAGTTGTAGGAGTGGTAGTGGTTGTAGTAGGAGTGGTTGTCGTTGTAGTAGGAGTGGTTGTAGTTGTAGGAGTGGTAGTGGTTGTGGTAGGAGTAGTCGTGGTTGTGGTAGGAGTGGTTGTAGTTGTTGTAGGAGTGGTAGTGGTTGTGGTAGGAGTAGTCGTGGTTGTGGTAGGAGTGGTTGTCGTTGTTGTGGGAGTGGTCGTCGTTGTTGTGGGAGTGGTAGTGGTTGTGGTAGGAGTAGTCGTGGTTGTGGTAGGAGTGGTTGTCGTTGTTGTGGGAGTGGTCGTCGTTGTTGTGGGAGTGGTCGTCGTTGTTGTGGGAGTGGTCGTTGTTGTTGTGGGAGTGGTTGTCGTTGTCGTAGGAGTGGTTATTATTGTTGTAGGAGTGGTTGTGATTGTCGTAGGTATGATTGAAGAAACTGTTGATGAGCCATCATCGCCTGGTTCTCCTGTTTCTTCTCCAAATATTAAAGATTGGGGTTTCTTCAAACTACATTTGTTCACTTTGTATTTGTTCCGTAGTGTTTGGCAGACGTCATTTCCAGGACTGGTAACTATGCACTGCCTCACTTGCTCCAGTTCTTCGCCTATGGTTAAATCATGAATTTTTGGTAAACTCTTGCTTTATGTGATGCTTACCGATGTAATATTCCACGTCCAAACATGAATAACTTGCTGAAGCTCTCAATAAACTCGTTCGGAATAAGGGATTTGGATGATAAGCAGAACATGCTTTCATTGGGACCTGAGGAAGGGCGCATTCGGTGCCCCTACACGTTGGACATTCGAAAGCAAAAGCTAAAAAATAAACATCGTTATTATTTTGTAGTCACCATCAAAATTATTATAAATAAATTTAGCTGTTCATATCAATTCTATTTTTCTTTAATGAATATTTATTAATTTGTCCGTTACAAAAATTACAGCTCAATTCAAACACAAAGACTGAACATTTCAAAGAAGTACTTCTTCACAACTTCTTGCAACCCAGATAATTCCAGAAAATAACTTAAAGCAACGTCTTGATTTTTACAACTGCTGTGAATTTATTTTATAGTTTTTAGCCTTGTTGACACTCACCGGAGGTGGCTAGACCCACAACGACACACAGTAACACAGTCCACTGCATTTTGCACCCCACAAGTTCACACGACAAAGTAACAAAAAAATGTCGCTGGAGCTTAAATAACTAAAACAATGTGAGATAAGTAATTTTTATCTTGAAAGTGTAATGATCAATTGTTGAATAATTATAATTCGATATGCTGGGGAGAGGAAGACAGTGGTTGGGAGACGCGATAGTCGCCTTTATTCCCCCAAGCTTACGAGACAGTTTAGATTTTTTTATGAGAACTTAAGATTTGATTACCTAGATGCTTATTTCTCAATAGAGATCGTAATCGAATGACAGGTGATAGTAAGCATTGACTCAGAAATTAACTGGAACAAAACGATTACATATTAACAGGGTTTAAAAAAAATCATTCGAGACTAAATTCTGGTCGAGGTAGTAAAATTTAAGCTGGCTTAATTCTCTATCGTTAAAGATTTGAAGATATCACATTGTTTCAAACATAACCCAAATTTTAACGTTTGTGTGATTGCTTTTGTAGAAAATTTTTATATTTTCGAGTCGTGATTTTCGAAAATTTACGGATTTTTTAACTAGTTTTTTTCAGGTTGTGTTGTAAACATTTTTTTTGAATTTCATAAATGTTACTAATGTCAAAAACAAAAAACAACTCTGAAGTAACACTGAAACAACAAATATATAAATATTTAAGAAAAAATGTATTTATCTTTATTAGACTTTAGGTAATTAGTATTAAAATACTATTATATACATATTCTGATTTTACAAAACCGTGGTTTTTATATACTCAAAACTCTGTAACAATAAATAGAAATAATTATTCTCTTCTAAAAAATTCGTCAAAACGAAATTAACTGGATAAGTTATGTCCAGCATAGATAAATCAAAGCTATCAGCAAAATTCCAATAGACGTTTGGTTGATCTCTGCGTGCCCTCCTGGCGTCTTTTCTGTAGTGGTGGTTTTATCTGTAGTGGTGGTTTTAGAAGTAGGGCCTGTAGTTGTTGAAGAAGTAGTGGTCGGAGCGCTCGAGGATTTCGTGGTTGTCGTGGGACTGCTTGTCGTTGTCGAGGAAACGGTCGTCGTTGTTGTAGGAGTGGTCGTGGTTGTCGTTGTCGTGGGAGTGGTCGTCGTTGTTGTAGAAGTGGTCGTTGTCGTGGGAGTGGTTGTCGTTGTCGTGGGAGTGGTTGTAGTCGTAGGAGTGGTTGTTGTCGTAGAAGCGGTTGTGGTTGTCGTAGGCGTGGCTGAAGAATCTGTTGATGACGTCACATCATCTGCTGGTTCTTCTCTTTCTTCTCCGACTGTTAAAGACTGGGGTTTCTTCAAACTACATGTTTTCACTTTGTATTTGTCCCGTAGTGCTTGACAGACGTCATTTCCAGGACTGATAACTATACACTGACTCACTTGTTCCAGTTCTTCGCCTATAGTTAAATCATGAATTTTTGACGAAGTGTTGCTTTATGTGATGCTTACCGATGTAGTATTCCACATACAAACATGAATAAGTTGCTGCAGCTCTGGCTACAGTCGTTTGAAATAAGGGGTACGGATGATGGACAGAACATGCCTTCAGTGGCACCCGAGGAAGGGCGCACTCGGTGCCCTTACATGTTGGACATTGCATAGCAAAAACTAAAAAATAAAAATCGTTATTTTTTAAATTTCGAACTAAATCAGAATATTCAAATTTAATTTTAAATATTTTGAAACCTGCAGCCTATTTCTATTATTCTTTAACAAATAATTATGTAAAATTTTCAAAGAACTTTGTCACAACTTGTGTCCTACTTCCACTTTTTGTAACACTTATTAGTGTGCAGAACTGCTGCGGTTTTAAAATCACAGAGAGATAAATTTTGATTTTTACAACCACGGATTTTATGGTTTATGCGACTTTATTATATCTTAAGCCACATTCACACTCACCGGAAGTGGCTAGAGCCACAACGGCACATAATAACACAGTCCACCGCATTTTGCACCCCGTCAGTTCACACGACAAAGTAACAAAAAATTGCTGCTGAGGCTTAAATAACTAAAACAAAGTGAGATAAACATTTTTTATCTTGGACGTGTAATAATCGATTGTTGAATAATTTCACATGGAGAGAAAGACAGCAGTTCAGAGGCTCGATATTCGCCTCTATTTCCCCAGACTTAAGAGATGATATTTTTTGCGAGATCCTGAGATTTGATTACCGAGATGAGTGTTTTTAAATCACGACCGTAATCGTACAAGGTGATAGCAAGCAAGGAATCATTGACTCGCATTAAAAAAAATATATCAGTTTTATATTATATAAAAAAAAATAATATTATAAGTGATTTTTGAACTTTTGCTCAACAAGTGTTCTCAAACAATCTAAAAAGTGGTGGCAATCTATCCATCCCAATAATTATTACATTCCCGAAGCCGACCATATTCTCGGAAAGGTATTATCTCGATGTGTGATTGTTATAGGGATAGACACTATCAGTGATGACGACATCAGGATTATAAATCGTTTTACCTAATTGAATTTTATGGCAGGCTGTTGCAGCGGACGAAACTTTCATATTGATCAGCTTTGCTGGAGATCCAATACTTTTGTTTCGATTGTTCGGACCACATGCTAATCATGAGTCTACAAATCTGGGTTAAACAATATTTGGTTTCCTAACACTTGCAACAGTTGTTGTTTGTTGCACGGATGATAGCGTTGTTTATAAAAATGTTGGAATTATTGCAAAAATCCGTCAAGATTACAAGTTTTCGGCGATGCTGATAAAATCGCCGATGGTGACAATGACACCATTGAAAAATTGTATTTAAGTTGTCTTGTCTCAAGGTAAAGTGTTTTCGCACGTGATTTTAAAGAGTTTGCTAGTGACAAGCTAGCTAATTGTATGCCCAGTCTTTTGGAAGCTGCTTTTTGGAGCACGTTTGAGAAACATCAAGTGTTCAAATCAGATCATTTTTAGGGTTTAATTTTTATTGTCATAAAGTGCTACTGATATCATTTTTTAATTTATATAATTGAGACGATAAACTATTGTAAAACATTAAGTAATTGTTTATTGTTCCAATTTAGATTACACTGTTTTTTAGTTAAGTATGCTTATATTTGTGGCCAGGAAACCTAACTTTATCGATCGCCAACATAAGCATATTTCATTTATTTATTGAAATTTTGACATTGATATTTTGGAAGGGACAAATAAAAAATTCTACTGTCTCGAAAACTGTTTACCTAGTTTAAATTTTGCGCAGACTTTGAACGATTTCTGTAAAATTTGTGATATCTAATTTTCTTGAACTCTTATTCTAAAAAATTAGTTGTCGATTTTGAAAAATTACCTAGTACGGTTTTAGTTAAAATAGAAAAGTTTGCTAAGAATTTTCATTTATTATTAGTCCACGATGTCTGAGAGGTTGAGGCTCGACATTTTTGTACGATAAAAATTAGCATTGGCAGTAAGTGGTAAATAAGTGATTGTCGTCATAATTAGAGTAGATATTATCATTAAGAATTCCACTTATTAGTGGAAAACACGTGGAGATAAGGTGGTAAGAAGTTTAAAATATTTCTCTAGTAACTACACTTTTTCGTTGTTTTGCAATTTGGAATCGATTTTTCAGTTTCTCAATTTTTGCCTTATTTGAAGTTTCTGTTGAAGAATTTTTTATTTTTTCAAGTATTCGATGCTTCAATTTCAAGATTAATATTATTATCCGGATTTTCGTTTTTTGGTTTCTTCACATTTGAGTTTTTAATTTCACAATTTTCCTATTTTAAAATTTTTGGCCTTTTCAGTTTTTTTTTTCTGCATTTAAATTTTTTTGTGACTTTCTAGTTATTTCATTTTTTGGTTTTCCTGTTTTCGATTTTTTCAAGTTTCGAATTTCAGAATTTTGAATTTTTTGTCTTTTCAATTTTCCGGTTTTTTAATCTTCGCGTATTCCAGTTTTAAAATTTTACAATTTTTTCAATTAATCTATTTTTCATCTTTCAAATTTTTTCGTTTTTAAATTTTTTTGATTTTTCAATGGTTCATGTGTCAAGTTCTCGAGTTCTCAATTTCTGGTTTCTTATTATTCAATTTTTCGAAATTTTCGATTTTTTGATCTTTGATTTTTCGATTTTGTAATTTTTCGGTTGCTAGTTACTCAACTTGCCAATTTTTCGATTTTCGATCTTTTCATTTTTCAATTTTCTATTTTTCCATTTCTATGCTATTTTGCAATCTTTCAAGGTTTCAATCCTTTCTTCTTCAAGAATTTTTCGATTGTACAGTTTTTCATTTTTCAGTTTCTTAATTTCTCAGTTTTTCCATTTTTAGATTTCTAGGTTTTCTTTCAAATTTTCCAGTTTCAACTGAATTTTTTTCAATTTTTCGATTTGAAAATTTTTGCTTTCTTCAGTTTTTTGATTTTTAATTTCTTATTTTGCAATTTTGCAATGGACGTTTCAGTTTCATAATTTTTCGTTTTTTCAGTTTCTCGATTTTTTATTTTTCAAATTTTCGATATCACGATATCTCAGTGTTTGTCAGTTTCTCGATTTTTCACTCATTTGAAGAATTTTTTATTTTTTCTCCTGTTCTATGCTTCAATTTTTCGATTTTGCGATTTTTAATTTTACGATTTTGTAATTTCTCAGTTACTCGACAGTCATTTTTTTAATAGGTTTTTTAACCACTTTTTTGGAACATTTTTGGAAATTTTGATTTTATTTTGCGTGTTTATTTGACCAAATATCGTGACGGCAATTTCAGAATCGTAACTAGCGGAAGATTATCTACAATTTGACATCAATTTTCGGTCGATTAAACCAATTTTAACCACTTTTTTGGAAATTTTTTGGAAATTTTGAATTCACTTTTCGTCTTTATTGGACCAGATATAGTGGCAGCGATTTCTGAATCGTAACTGTAGGAAGATTATCTACAATTTGACACCAATTTTCAGTCGATTAAATCAATTTTAACCACTTTTTTGGAAAATTTTTAGAAATTTTGAATTCACTTTTCGTCTTTATTGGACCAGATATAGTGGCGGCGATTTCAGAATCGTAATTAGCGGAAGATTATCTATAATTTGACACCAATTTTCGGTCGATTAAACCAATTTTAACCACGTTTTTGGAAAATTTTTGGAAATTTTGGATTCTCTCTTGGCGTTTCCTGGACCAGATATCGTGACGGCGATTTCAAAATCGTAACTAGCGGAATATTATGTACAATTTGACACCAATTTTCGGTCGATTTAACCAATTTTAACCACTTTTTTGGAAAATTTTTGGAAATTTTGATTTTATTTTGCATGTTTATTGGACCAAATATCGTAACGGCAATTTCAGAATCGTAACTATCGGAAGATTATCTATAATTTGACACCAATTTTCGGTCGATTAGACCAATTTTAACCACTCTTTCGAAAAATTTTTGAAAATTTTGAATTCATTTTGCGTGTTTATTGGACAAGATATCGTAGCGGCAATTTCAGAATAGTAACAAGCGGAAGATTATCTACAATTTGACACCAATTTTCGGTCTATTAAGCCAATTTTAACCACTTTTTTGGAAAATTTTTGGAAATTCTGGATTCACTTTTTGCGTTTCTTGGACCAGAGATCGTGACGGCGAGTTTAGAATAGTAACTAGCGGAAGATTATCTACAATTTGACACAACTTTTCGGTCGATTAAACCAGTTTTAACCACTTTTTTGGAAAATTTTTGGAAATTTTTGATTCACTTTGCCTGTTAATTGGACCAGGTATCGTGGCGGCGATTTCAGAATTGCAACTAGCGGAAGATTATTTACAATTTGACACCAATTTTAGGTCGATTAAGCCAATTTTAACCACTTTTTTGGAAAATTTTTGGAAATTTTGGATTCACTTTTTGCGCTTCTTGGACCAGATATCGTGACGGCGATTTCAGAATCGTAACTAGCGGAAGCTTATCTACAATTTGACATCCAATTTTGGGTCTATTAAGCCAATTTTAACCACTTTTTTGGAAAATTTTTGGAAATTTTTAAATCATTTTGCGTGTTTATTGAACCAGATATTGTGGCGGCGACTTCAGACTAGTAACTAGCGGAAGATTATCCACAATTTGACACTAATTTTCGGTCGATTAAACCAATTTTAACCACTTTTTTGAAAAATTTTCGTAAATTTTGGATTAACGTTTTGCGGTTCTTAGACCAGATATCGTGACGACGATTTCAGAATCGTAACTAACGGAAGATTATCTTCAATTTGACACCAATTTTCGGTCGATGAAACCAATTTGACCACTTTTTTGGAAAATTTTTGGAAATTTTGGATTCAGTTTTTGCGTTTCTTGGACCAAAGATCATAACGGCGTATTCAGAATCGTAACTATAGGAAGATTATCTACAATTTGACACCAATTCTCGGTCGATTAAACCAATTTTAAGCACTTTTTTGGAAAATTTTTGGAAATTTTGATTATAATTTGCGTGTTTATTAGAGCAAATATCGTGACGGCAATTTCAGAATCGTAACTAGCGGAAGATTATCTACAATTTGACACCAATTCTCGGTCGATAAAACCAATTTTAACCAGTTTTTTGGAAAATTTTTGAAAATTTTGGATTCACTTTGCGTGTTTATTGGACCAGATATCGTGGTAACGATTTCAGAATCGTAACTAGCGGAAGATTATCTACAATTTGATACCAATTTTCGGTCGATTAAACCAATTTTAACCACTTTTTTAGAAAATTTTTGGAAATTTTGAATTCAGTTTGCGTCTTTATTGGACCAGATATCGTGACGGCGATTTCAGAATCGTAACTAGCGGAAGATTATCTACAATTTGACACAAATCTTCGGTCGATTAAACCAATTTTAACCCTTTTTTTGGAAAAATTTTTGAAATTTTGGATTCACTCTTTGCGTTTCTTGGACCAGATATCGTGACGACGATTTCAGAATCGTAACTACCGGAATATTATGTACAATTTGCCACCAATTTTCGGTCGATTAAACCGATTTTAACCACTTTATAGGAAAATTTTTGGAAATTTTGAATTCATTTTGGGTGTTTATTGGACCAGATATTGTGGCGGTGATTTCAGAATAGTAACTAGCGGAAGATTATCTACAATTTGATACCAATTTTCGGTCGATTAAACCAATTTTAACCACTTTTTTAGAAAATTTTTGGAAATTTTGGATTCAGTTTTTGCGTTTCTCGGACCAAAGATCGTAACGGCGTATTCAGAATCGTAACTAGCGGAAGAGTATCTACAATTTGACACCAATTCTCGGTAGATAAAACCAATTTTAACCAGTTTTTTGGAAAATTTTTGAAAATTTTGGATTCACTTTGCGTGTTTATTGGACCAGATATCGTGGTGACGATTTCAGAATCGTAACTAGCGGAAGATTATCTACAATTTGATACCAATTTTCGGTCGATTAAACCAATTTTAACCACTTTTTTAGAAAATTTTTGGAAATTTTGGATTCAGTTTTTGCGTTTCTCGGACCAAAGATCGTAACGGCGCATTCAGAATCGTAACTATAGGAAGATTATCTACAATTTGACACCAATTTTCGGTTGATTAAACCAATTTTAACCACTTTTTTGGTAAATTTTTGGAAATTTTGAATTCACTTTTCGTCTTTATTGTCCCAGATATGGTAGCGGCGATTTCAGATTCGTAGCTATAGGAAGATCATCCAAAATTTGACACCAATTTTTAGTCGATTAAACCAATTTTAGCCACTTTTTTGGAAAATTTTTGGAAATTTTGAATTCACTTTTCGTCTTTATTGGAGCAGATATGGTCGCGTCGATTTCAGAATCGTAACTATAGGAAGATTATCTACATATTGACAACAATTTTCGGTCGTTTAAACCAATTTTAACCAATTTTTTGGAAAATTTTAGGGAATTTTGAATTCAGTTTTTGCGATTCTTGGACCAGATATCGTGACGGCGAATTCAGAATCGTAATTACCGGAAGATTATCTACAATTTGAAACCAATTTTGGGTCGAATCTTGGGTATTCCTTATGTTTTGTTTTTCGAAGTACATAGTTTGAAAAAATTTCGGGAAACAATTTTCTTTTGTTTTTGAAATAGTTTGATTGAAACTTGGGAAACCCTTTTTGTTTTGTTTTTGTAGTAGTTTGAAAGAATCACTTGTGTTTTGTTCTTGAAGTATGTAGTTTAAAAAAAGTCACTTTTGTTTTGTTTTTGAAGTAGCTTCAAAGAATCTAGGGACGCCTTGTATTTTGTTTATGAAATAGTTTGAAAGAATCTCGAAGACCTCTTATGTTTTGTTTTGGTTTTTAAGGAAACACCTTTGTTTTTTTTTTTTAATAATTTGAATGAATCTCTGAGATCCCTTGTCCTGGTTTAAAAAAGTATAAAAAACTTTGAGAAATTTCCCGATTTCTGAACCTCTATAAGCACCATGTTATACAATCAAATTTAGCACATTTAACAAATTCCCAAAAATGTATACCTTCTCACTAAAAAAACAACCCCAGTTTCCACGTATTAAAACACCTTTATTCTTACATTTACCCACCCCAAATCAAGCACCGGAACCCTCTCAGCCCAACTTCAAGCAAAAATCGCACTTAATCCACCTAATATGTACAAAAGAGAGTCTATCCAAGCTTACAAATAATCTAAACCTAACCTAATCCTATTCTCCGTATTTTTTTTACATTCGGTAATATATCAAAAAAGTGACAAGCGTCGCAGCGATTGTGCCGACCAACGACATCAGAGGACCCTTCTGGACGGCGGCGTTGCAGCCGTCCCCGCTGCACAAGGAGCAATATTTCATACGAAGATTATCATTATCGTCCTTCTCCTTCTTCACCTTGAGACAGATATCCAAGTTGTCGCTCCTGGCGAGCTGGCAACCTCGCAGAACGTAGTGTTTATTTCCATCTGAAAAAAAAAGTGACAAGTTCGAAACAATGCTGTAATCCATGATTCATTCAGTTTAATAAAACTTATTGATGATGTTGCGTGTTTGATCTTATCTATCGGGGACAAGTATGCAGATAAGAAAAATGTGCGTTTTTACGGAAAATGTAGCTGTGATGATAAGTGTTTTTGGTATTGTGTTGGGAAATGAGCTATAAATTAGGGTTTGGCGGGCGCAGTTGTGTAACGCAAGGGTCTGTTTTCGTCATGAGATTGCAAAAATTTTGTAACATGAAGCAGCTGCAATAGACGAAATCAGATAGATACGGTTCGAGTGGCAACAAAGCCAGCGAAAAATGTGTAGGAGGCCTCAGGACCGTCTAGATCAGAGTTGAGAGTTTTCGTGTAGTTTATTTTTAAACTGCAGTTTCCGCGTAAACATGACTTGTCATAGCCATATCTCAAAGCAGTTTCAAGTCCTAGTTTCCTTGAGACAAGTGACGATAATACTGTTCAGACCTTTTTTCACAAATTCTACGAAATAAGTAATCTTGATTTTATTATAAGTATGAATTGTAAAACCTGGGGTTCGCCTTGATATACTTTCGACTTAAATTAATCTACAAAAGTAATTCTAATGGATTAATATTTATTGTGCTTCCAATGATCTCCAATACAGTCTGATGAAGCGTTGCACCATATTATTGAAACCATTTCAAAATAAAAAATTTTCCATTTTTCCTTCCTCCTGGTGCAACAGATTTTGTCGTCTTCTATTCTCTCTCTTCACGCATGTATAAACATTGCGCCATATGTAGAGATGTATATAAACAGGGGTGTCTAAATTATGTACATTTATGTCTGAGTTACACTTAACAAAAATCTTTCTCATTTTAATTACTTAATCAAAATTTAAATCGTAGAAATGCCTGGAACAAAGAACAGGATTACAAGTACAAAAAACGAACTTATTAGACTGGCTCTAAAAGCAATCGAACAGGATAGACCTTGTCCAACTGTAAATAGTATAAAATAGTTAGGACTACATTTCTAGGAAAAATTGGAACGTACAATTCAGAAGCATTGGTTTTTGAAGTGGTTTGAAAGAATCTTGAGGAGCTCTTGTATCTGGTTTTTAATGTACTTAGTTTAAAAATACCTCGGGGACCCCTTTTTCTTTGTTTTTTTTAAATAGCTAGAAAGAATCTTGGGAATATTTCTGGGTATTGCTCTTGAAGCAGTTTGAAAGAATCTCGAGAATCATTGGTGCCCGGTTTTTGAAGTAGTTTGAAAAAACTCAGGCAGTACTTGTCGCTGGTTTTTGAAGTAGTTTGAAAGGATCTCGGGAACTAATTGTCCTAGCTTTTGAAGCTGTTTGAAAGAATCTCGAGAATCATTGGTGTCCGGTTTTTGAAGTAGTTGTAAAAAACTCAGGCACTCATTGTGGCTGGTTTTTGAAGTAGTTTGAAAGAACCTCGGGGACTAATTGTCCTGCTTTTTGAAGCAGTTCGAAAAAATCTCGGAGACCAATTGTGGCTGGCTTTTGAAACATTCTTAAAGAATCTCGAGGATTTCTTGTGTTTTTGTCTAGTTTTAGAAGTGGTTTGAAGGAGCCTTGGAGAGCCACGTGTCTTCCTTTTGAAGTAGCTTGAAAGAACCTCAAGGATCATTTGTGTCAAAGTCAGGCACCACTAAACTTGTCTCTGGTTATTGAACTAGTTTGAAAGGATTTCGAGATCACTTTTGTTTTAATTTTGAAGTAGCTGAAAGAATCTCGGGCACCCCTTTGTGTCTGGTTTTTGAAGTAGTTTGAAAAAATCTCAGGGACCTCATGTCTGGTTTTTGAAGTAATTTGAAAAAATTTCAGGGGTGGATCTCTTGTTCTGGTTTTTGAAGCAGTCTTAAAAAAATTCGAGGATCACTTTTGTTTTGTTTTCAAAGTGATCTGAAAGGACCTCGAGGGCCGCTTGCGTCTAGTTTTAGAAGTAGTTTGAAGGAGTCTTGCGTAGCTCCCGTGCCTGCTTTTTAAAGTAGCTTGAACGAATCTCGAGGATCTTTCTAAATATTGCTCTTGAAGTAATTTGAAAGAATCTCCAGGATCATTTATGTCCGGTTTTTGAAGTAGTTTGAAAAAAACGCAAGCACCACTTGTGTCTGGTTTTTGAAGTAGTCTGAAGGAATCTCGGACACCCCTTTGTGTTTGGTTTTTGAAGAAGCTTTAAAAAGTCTCAGGTACCCCATATGTCTGCTTTTTGAAATAATTTGAAAGAATCTCAGGGATGGATCTTTTGTGTCTGGTTTTTGAAGCAGTCTTAAAATATTTCGAGATTACTTTCGTTTGTTTTCTTTCAAAGTGATTTGAAAGAACCTCGGAGACCACTTGTATCTAGGTTTAGAAGTAGTTTGAAGGAGTCTTGCGCAGCTCCCGTGCCTGCTTTTTAAAGTAGCTTGAACAAATCTCGAGGATCTTTCTAAATATTGCTCTTGAAGTAATTTGAAAAAATCTCCAGGATCATTTATGTCCAGTTTTTGAAGTAGTTTGAAAAAACTCAAGCACCACTTGTGTCTGGTTTTTGAAGTAGTCTGAAGGAATCTCGGGGACCCCTTTTCTTTTGATTTTGAAACAGTCTGAATAAGTCTCGAGGACCCCCTGTGTCTGCTTTTAAAAACAGTTTGAAGGAGCCTTCAGGGTCCCTTGTGCATGATTTTTCAAGTATTTTGAAAGAATCTCGAGGTTTTTTGGTTTTTGCAGCAATCTGAAAAATCTCGAGGACTACTTGTATCCGGTTTTTGAAGTAGTTTGAAAGAATCTCAGCGACTTTTTGTGTCTGCTCTTTGAATTGGTTAGAAATAATCTCGGGGATCTTTCCGGGTATTGCTCTCGAAGCAGTTTGAAAAAATTTTGAGAACCACTTGTTTTCGCTTTTGAAATAGGTAGATTGAGAAAACTCAGGAACCACTTGTGGCTGGTTTTTGAAACAATTTGAAAGAATCTCGGGGACTACTTGTCTCTGGTTTTGAAGTAATTTGAAAGCATCTCGGAGACCAATTGTGCCTGGTTTTTGAAGTTGTTTGACAAAGACTCAGGCACAACTAGTTTTTAAAGTATCTCGGGAAGCACTTTTCTTTTCTTTTTAAAAAAGTCTGAACAGTTTGAAGGAGGTTTGGGATGCCTTATGTTTGATTCTTCAAGTAGTTTGAAATAGTCTGGGGGTTTTTTTGGTTTTTGAAGTAGCTTGGAAAAATCTCGGGGGTGCCTCGATATATTGCTCTTGGAACAATTTGAAAGAAGTAGTTTGAAGAGTCTTGTGAAGCCCATGTACCTGCAGTTTGAAGTAGTTTGAAAGAATCCCGGGGATTCCTTTTGTTTGGTTTTTGAAGTAGCTTGAAAGAATTTCCGGGATCTTTCTGGGTATTGCTCTTAAGGCAATTTGAAAAAATCTCTAGGAACACTTGTGTCTGATTTTTGAAGTAGTTTAAAAGAATGTCGAGGACCCCTTTCTTGTGACTAGTTTTTGAAGTATTTTCAATCAATCTCGGGGATCTTTCTGTATATTGTTCGTGAAGCATCTAAATAAATGTGGGGATCACATGTCTCTGGTTCTTTAAGTAGTTTGAAAGAATCTCAAGTACCTCTTGTGTTTGATTTTTCAAGCAGTTTTAAAGAATCTCGGAGACGCCTTTTGTTTTTATTTTGAAGTAGCTTGAAAAAATCTCAGTGAATTCTTGTCTCTGGTTTTTGAAATAATTTGAAAGAAGATCAGCGACCAGATGTGTACGGATTTTGAAATAACTAGTTTGAAAGTATCCCGGGGATTCCTTTTGTCTGGTTTTTGAAGTAGTTTGAAAGCATCTCCGGGAACTTTCTAGGTATTGCTCTTGAAAGCAATTTGGAAGAATCTATAGGACCATTTGTGTTTGGTGTTTGAAGCAGTTTGAAAGAATCTCGGGGACTACTTGTCTCTGGTTTTTGAAGTAATTTGAAAGCATCTCGGAGATCAATTGTGCCTGGTTTTTGAAGTTGTTTGACAAAGACTCAGGCACCACTTGTGTTTTGATATTGAAGTAGTTTTTGAAAGAATCGCGGGAAGCCCTTTAAGAAAAGGGTTCTTGTCTTTTTCAAAAAGATAAGAGTCTTTTTGAAAAAGTCAGAAAGAATCTCGAGCGCCCGACGTGTCCGCCTTTAAAAACGGTTTGAAGAAGTCTTGGGGATGCCTTATGCCAGATTTTTCAAGTAGTTTGAAAGAATCTCGGGTTTTTTTGGTTTTTGAAGTAGCTTGGAAAAATCTCGGATGTCTTTCGATATATTGCTCTTGGAACTATTTGAAAGAAGTGGTTTGAAGGAGTCTTGTGGAGCACACGTACCTGCGTTTTGAAGTAGTTTGAAAGAATCCCGGGGATTCCTTTTGTTTGGTTTTTGAAGTAGCTTGAAAGAATCTCCGGGATCTTTCTGGGTATTGCTCTCAAGGCAATTTGAAAAAATCTCTAGGAATACTTGTGTCTGGTCTTTCAAGCAGTTTGAAAAAATTTTGGAGACCACTTGCGTCTGGTTTTTGAAGTAGTTTAACAGAATCTCGGAGACCCCTTTTGTTTTAATTTTGAAGTAGCTTGAAAAAATCTCAGAGAATTATTGTCTCTGGTTTTTGAAGTAATTTGAAAGAACATCAGGGACCACATGTGTATGGATTTTGAAGTAAGTAGTTTGAAAGTATCCCGGGGATTCCTTTTGTCTGGTTTTTGAAGTAGTTTGAACGAATCTCGGAAATCTTTCTGTGTTTTATTCTTGAAGCAATCTGAATAAATGTGGGGGAGCACTTGTCTCTGGTTTTTGAAGTAGTTTGAAAGACTCCCGGGTACCTCTTTTGTTTTGATTTTGAAGTAGCTTGAAAAAATCTCGGAGAATTCTTGTGCCTAGTTTTTCAAGTAGTTTGAAAAATTCTCGAGGACTACTTGTCCCTAGTTTTGAAAGTAATTTGAAACAATCACGGAATCCTGTTGTGTCTAGTTAGAAGCAGTTTGAA